AAATTGCAATCCGGCTTAACTGCAGTCTAGGGGGAACCATATCCGGGTGACCTCTCTTTGACTTGAAAACAACCGTTAAACTTGCTTTGTTTGTTTGTTAATTTGGACCTGCACTAAAGTTTCACTGCTAGATAATAAGAATTCACTGAGTAGTCATCACATCTAGGACCCGGGTTGACATTAAAACCCAAACCCGCTATACTACGCTTTAGGAAGTGGTTACACTTGGCCATTTTCTAGAGTGACAGTAGGAGTGAGTCACCCATACTCCCCACGTAAAGGGTATCCTTCGCTGAAGTTTTGGGGAGATTTAGCTCCAATTTCCTAATAGGCAATTTCCGACGACCCCTCTCTAGCGAGTTTTTCACTGATTTTTCCTACTTGAGTGTCCAGGTGTGTTTCCACTTTTACTTTGCTAATTAGAGGAGAATTGGATTAGGGTTTAAGGTGAGGAGAATTAATGAATTAGCAAATGAATGTTGAAATTGGGCGAGAGATTGGTCAATTAATGGTACATGATAGTTAAATGATGTTTCTTTGATCTTGGTAGAGCCTTGGTGGGCATGAATTGAGTATGATTTGTGATTAATTGTGAAAATGGCCCACCAAGTGCAAATTTGTGAGTGAATGTGGATGCTTAAGTGGTGAATGATGGATTGTGGACATCGAGGTGTGGTTAGGGCGTGATAATGTGAATGAGTTGAACCTTGAATCATCCGCAACCATACCTCGATGTGTTTTTTTTTTTTTTTTTGAATGAGCTTAATTGTTTGAAACGGGAGGTTTAAGCCTTAGTGGAAACCTTAAGTGTGGGGAACTCCTTTTCCTCCCTTGACTTGGAATTGATGAATGTTTCCACATATGGTGTATGTCTTGTATGTTTTGCAGGATGGTTGATGTGGAGCACCCGTTCATCCAGTACCTAGTGTACCATGAGCAGTACGGTAATCGGTTCGAGGAGTGGAGGTACGAGGAGGCAGGACCCCACTGGGTGCTCAATCTGGACATGTTCAACATGTTCAGATGTCGGGCGGCTATGTCCGGGATGCTGGTTCACCCCTAGTGGAGGAACCTTTTGTTTATGGATGAGCTCATCTATAGGGAGCTCTATGTGGAGTTCTACTCCAGCTTCACGCATGTGATCCCGACCAGCAAGCGCAACATGCCATACGTAGAGTTCATGCTGGGAGAGGAGCATTGTGCCATGTCCTATGACACGCTCGCACTGGCCATGGGCCTTGACCCCACTAACATGACGATGTCAGAGAGGGAGTACACAACAGACTTCCACTATCAGGCCGCCTTCCAGGCCATGAGCCTCCTAGAGTGTCAGAATGACGAGTTGCGGTGCTCCCAGGCCTGTGCGACAAAGCTCCGGACTCCTTGGAGGATCTACCACACCCTGCTCACCAAGTCCATCATCTCGAGACTGAGGTCGGGGCACATGATCACCAACAGAGGGTTGATTGCCCTCCATACTTTCAGCCACCCCAGAGAGCCACTCCACCTAGGAGCAGTAGTGGCGACCACATTTGCCAGATGTGTGGGGCGAGACCGAGTTTTGACGATGCACTTGGGGGCGTCATTACGAGGCTGGCCTGATTCCTCGGGATAGACGTGACTAGATGCTCGATTATCATCCGGACCGACATCTTCCCCATGGAGACACTATATAACCAGAAGATGGTGCTCAAGGGAGAGAGAGGCATCGAGTACCTGTGGGCCTTCGACCCTGAGGAGCCTTTAGGCATCATGTCTAGCCTGTCCCAGTAGAGGGCGACCCTGATCAGCCAGACCGATCTTCTGGTCCAGATTGCCTATAAGCAGGGCATCCCAACAGACGACGAGGGGAACCAACCAGGACCCAGCTCGAGGTAGCCGACAAGTGAGACATGTGGCAGAGCCGATTTTTTAGCCCCACTGCTCCACTTGTAACTCTAAACTCTTTTATCCTTTATTTTTCTCTTCTTTCATTCAGTGTGTGTGTGAACAACTACTACTACTACTATCGTACATGTGTAATAACCTCGCCTCGAGCGAGTGTGTGTGTGTGTGTGTGTGTGTGTTTCTGTTTGTTTTATCTTCTCCTTGAAGCTCCAATCTCCTACCCCCAGAAAAAAAAATCCAATTTCATTCACCAAGCCAAGTGGTAACATCGTTCTACCCCCTATCTTACGTCATTGAGGGCAATGTCGAGCTTAAGAGTGGGTGGGGGTAGCTTGTTATTATCCTTGTGTGAGTGTGATTGAATGCTTGGAGCCTTGATGTATGCCCAAATTTGAAACATTTGAGGGCTCCAAGCAACATTTGCATGATCAAAGTGGTCGGTTTGTGGTAGAATCTCGTGTTTATTGGCATTGACCTTGAATAGTTGCATGTGATCGAGTGTGTCCTATAATGATGACTGAGAGGTGATTAGGATAGTGCCAAGGTTTAGTTCTTATGTGTGAAAATATGAATGGATACCTCGACTCCATTACTTGTTGATTACAATTGCCATGCATTGTGCTTTGTAGATTGGAATAGAGGATTGGGTGACTAGGTAGCCATGTGAGTTTTGTGTAGATCATTTTCTTATTGTGTGCTTAGAGCCCTCTTACCATGGCGAGTAACATCACAGTTGTCACTAGTGAGTATGATTGAGGCATATGATTAGTTCACGCCCAAAAGTTGATTGTCCCGAAACATCTTATCCCCTGGTCAACCCCTTTGAGCTGTGTTACATTGGGTCGTTCTCATGTTAAAACCTTCGTGCTTGTTGAGCTTAATGGTGATTGATAGAACGACCCTCATCCTTTCTTCATGTCAAAATGTGAGTCGTCCTTGTGTCTCGGAGCTCTCAATCTTGAGCTCCATGGAGTTCTACAAAGGAGGATTTTGCACGGTTCTTGCTAGGAATGATGAGGTAGTATTGGAGTAAGATCTTAATTGAGAGCATTGTTCGCTAAATGTTAAGTGGCATGCGTATTACTCTCTAGGACACCCCTCGAAAAAAAAAGTAGAAACAAAAGAAACAAAACGAAAAAGAGGTAATAAAATAGGGTAAATAAAAGTAGAGAGTTGCCACAAAAGTCAAAGTGTATGCTCTAGAAAGGTTTCTTGGCACTCAAGCCATTAGAACACCCGAAATTTTGTTGTACTCCTGCACTACTATGTTTGAAATATGATAGCAAGAATAGTGATGAAAACCGTGTCTAAAACCTCCAGACAAGCTAGTGATAAAAACCATCCCGTGAACTCTAGCATCTAGAGATTGCCGCTATGATGAAGAGACGATAAGGCTAAGTGCTGATGATTGTGCACATTTTCTGCACCAAATGGTCCTGACCCCACTGGTTAAGAGAGTGAGTGAGGGAGCATAGAAAAACAAACCTTGCTACCATTGTTGCCAACGGCGGTGAATATGTTAACTGTCTTTGACAACGACGATGATGGAGAAACATGTGTATAGAGCTATTAGCGGTGCGGTTTCGGTTTTAACATAACCGCAAACGCGGTTAACCGCAGCCGACAATCACCCAAAAACCTCAACCACCACTGACCCCGATTGCCTTGTTGGTTAGCCAAAATCGTCGTCGACGGTTTCGGGTCGGTGTCGCGGTTAGCTGAAGACCGACGTAGGGGGTGGACCTGGCTGGATTTCTAGATCCGAATGCCAAATCTCGCCGCCGAATCGGGCTGTGGACGACAGAGAAGGATCTACTTTCACCTCTATTGCCAAAGAGAGATAGAGGAACACAGGAGGAAGAGGAAGAAGGGCCGAGGGAAGGATCTGCTTCCACTATTCTGGATCTTGCTTTGACAAGAAAGGAGAGAGAGAGGTCGCCGGCCCAAGTTCTCGTTCGGTGCCAGTCGCCACCACGAGCCTCGCCTTTGAATCTCTCCATCAAATCTCACCATTATGAGAGACATGGCGATGGTGAGCTAGCAATTGGCTCCAACGAGAGGTGACGGCGAGGTAGATGGGAGGCGACGACAGCAAGGAAGCAGGCAGGGCAGTGAGGATAAAACATGCAACGCAATGCAACGGATGGCGACGACGACCGATGATCGATCTGGAGGATGAAGAATGGGCGTCAACGACGCTGTGACCTTGGATCTGGTGAAATTTCTTCCGCTGATTCCTTCCACAGCGGCGAGCCACGACCTATTTCGACAAGGAATGGGTGGGCGAAGCCATGTGGGGATAGTTAGTAAAATACGGTACGGGAAAGTTACGTATAAAATACGTACGGGCATTTTACTTCGTCTAAACTAATGTTACGTTTAATAGTACGTTAATAGTCATAAATATATAAAATTAATTATTTTAAAAAATAAATATATATAAAAAATAGTAAAGTTAATAATTTAATTCATTAAATACGGATATTAAACGTGTTATATGGAGTTTATACGTGTTTAGTATGGGAAACATTAAAAGAACGTAAGCAAATGAAACAGCTTGACAATAATACGGATACATAAGTTTTAAACGGATAAAGTACGTACTGATACATATATGTGTATTAAACGGAGTATTTACTAACTATGCGGGGGGCGATTGAGGTGGAAAGCTCGACGGCGAGTGGCGATTGAGGATGGTGGTGGCTGGTGGGCGACGAGTTCTGGTGGAGGCGTGCGAGAGAAGGTGGAACTGGAAAAGGGTAGAGAGCGGCAAAAGCGGAGAGGAGAGGGAGAAATTGGCGAGGGGTAGGGATTGGGACTGGCGGTGCACCGAGTAGTTCTCGGTTAAAAACCGGCGGTTGCGGGTTATAGAATTCCCCTCAAAAGGCCAAATGACACCGACAGTCCCAATTGATTTTCGATTTCGATGATTAACCAAAGGTTCGGCTCGATTTTCCAGTTAAACTGGATAACCGACAATCGATTATTAGGCCTACATGTGTAGATTGAATTTTTTTTTTCTAACACATGTATTTTTAGAATTTTTTTTAATAACATGTGTATTTTGGGATTTTTTTTTTTTCTCTTGGGTTCATTATGGTTTCCCGTTCACGGTTCACCTATGACCAAAGATAAACACAGCCGACTGAACACGTTCATGAAATACAGCATTCTGATACATCTAAATTCAGGGAGAAGCATACCAAACACAGACATTGATAAGGCTGATCTCTTCGACACATTCAACTTCCACTAGCTCAAACAAAATTGTGTTCACAAACACGCTCATCAAGGCTAATAATCCCTCCAACAATACATCTGTAAGCTACTACTAGCTTCAGTACATGACGGGGGCTAGGATCTCTAATTGGGGTCCAAGCTTCTCCTCTGCTACCTTCTCAGCCTTTGCCCTAAGTTTGTTCAATCCCTTCTTCCTCTCGTACATCAACTTGGCCTTCTCCTTTCTCTTCTCCTCGAGCTCCTGCAAAATATCACAGAGTTGAGTCATAACCATCATAGAACAGAAGGGACAAAAAGAGTTATTATAGCGCCAACCCGAGAAATGATCATCTGATATACATATGATATGGCAAGGAAACACAATAACACATGGAGGCAGATGCAACCCGAAATAAGTCATAATCATCAGTGATATCACAGTGTACAGTGGAAGATACATCTGATATGGCAAGGAAGCACAATAGCACATACAAATATTGGAGACTGATGGCAAAAGCAGGAGACCAACAGAAGAAACATTACATGCACAGAAAGATACAACGGGAACTGAATTCCATTCATAAAAAACAGGAAAGGAAAACAACAACTTGATTCCATGTTTTCCCAGATTTTCCAAAACAAGAGATATGAAGATGACAACACTCACCCTGATGGTGTCATAATGGTTCCATCCAACTTGTGATGACAGCTGGCCCAACAAGCAGTGCTTGTGTCCACTCTGAAGCCTCAACACCCTAAAACCACACACACAACCAAAAAGAAGGTTAAGATATGAAGCCTGGGATTATATAACACAAATCACAATAGACAGCTAGGACAATCAAAGACTACATAATTCAAATACCCACTTGAGAGCATCAGGGACAACCATCCTCTTGATCTTGTCATATGGAGGTGGGACGCCCTCATAAGCCTTCAGCCTTGCAAGGGCAGCTTCTCCACGCTTTGTCTTGTGAGGAATCATTCTGCATTAATAATTGAACAGAGCTATGCATAAGAACTCCCCCACCTCACAGCCGGTAGCCATTTCACGAAGTGCACAACCACAAGTTATAACTTAAGCATTTGATAGCAAAGTTGACATCTCTCGTTAACCAATGATGAAGTTCTCTCCTTAAGCATTAATAGAATAGAAGAATATAATAATCTAATTTGTTCTAATAGCGTACAATAAATAAGGCACAGAAGCTCCTTAACCATTAAAATTCGAAACCCCCAAATTCTAATATCTAAAGTTACAGTTCTCCATCAAAGCCCGCCAATTTTCCTCAAACCAATGGCCACCACATCTTCCAAAACGTGGAAGGTTGCAAAACTAATAACCAACCAGGAAAATTGTTGAAAGAAAAGCGTGTAGGATAGAGAAATCAGACCCGCGGACAGTTCGCCAGAAGATCTTAGAAGGAGCGCGGAAGTGGATGGGACCATGTGAAGGCTTGGTGTTCATGCGCTTGCGCAGGAACCTCATGTACTTCATTTTCTGGCGCACAAGTCCTCCGGACATGGATATCTCCTCGCACCTGACTACCACCACTTTCTGACCGTTGAGAAGCTCCTTCGCCACGATCGAAGCCAGCCGGCCGAGCATGTGGTGTCTGGCGTCCACCACGACCCTCTTCGCGCAGATCCCCGATCCAGACACCATTTTTCTCCTACGTTAGCTCTCGCTTTCCTCCGACTATGCCCTAGCCTGAAACTACCAATCGAGGTTATAACTTTATATCGGGGACAAGGCTAGGGTTTTTGTGCCCGCAGGCGCACCCGCAGCAGGGGTTTGTTGATCGGGTCGAGCAACCTCGGGTCGGATTTCTTGACTTGACTATGCGGATCGCCTCTGGGCCATGAGCCCAGTCATCGCTTATTTGGGAAATGGGCCTTTACTTGCGCCGCTTGGCTTGTTCCATGAGCCAGCAGGTGGTTTGACTTGCTGGTCAACTATCCAAAATAGGATCGGGTCACCAATTTTTTTTAGAGTAATGTCTTTTTTATCCAATTATTTTTTAGATTTTTTTATATTATTCATATCTATTAAAATGCTATTAATTAGTCAAATTTTTCGTAATGCAATAAAATATTAACTTCTGTTACCTTATCGTCAATAGTTTTGTAACTCTTACTAACATTTTTAAATGGTGACTTTCATGTATCTCTTTCAAGTCTGTTTCATTTTGCCAAGTCAATATTACTAACAAAATTGCTAACTGAAAGTTAACATTTGACTAATTCTTAGTATTTCTATAGGTTTGGCTAATAAAAAAATTTGAAAAAAGTTTGGATAATAAATAGTCATTACCCAAAAAAATGCAAGTCAATTCTTACAGGTGGTTTGAAAGTTGGGATTGCAAATGAGGTATTTAGTCAATACATGTAATAGTAAGATTAAGTCATTTTTTGGTTTCAATATGAGTTAGAATTCATGTATTACTTTTTTACTAGATCCACTGATTCAGGTCTAATTGCACATATTTTGCCACCGGTTTGCTTAGATGTTTGTGCCAAATTCGCTCATTAGAGGTTGATCTCACGCGAGGTTCTTCATGTTTGAGTGTTTTCAGGATTTAACAGGAGGAACCAGTCTCAGAGTCGAAGGATTGGCGAAAAGGATCGAAAATCGGGAGAAGAGGTGAAAAAATGCAATTTCACGGAGTTCACGACCCTCGGAGTCGAAGGATTGGCGGAAAGGATCGAAAATCGGGAGAAGAGGTGAAAAAACGCAAGAACGCAAGTTCACAGAGTTCACGATCGTGCAAGGCCGTGAACTTAGCTCCTCTCAGGTTTAAAAGCTGAGCTGCAAGGAAAGAGAGGAGAGAGCCACTTTTTGTGAGAAAAACACTTTTGCATTTTAGTGAGAGAAACAGAACCAAAAGAGAAGAAGAGGTTAGGGCTTGGCTTCAAAGGAGGTTATGGGAAGATTTCCCCAAGGAAATCCCAGCTCAAGGTTGAAGAAGAGAGGAGGCATCCCCAAAAGATGGTTTCCACCTTTTTCTCCTTTGTTCTTCCCACTTCTTTCATGGAGTAGTCCTCCTCCCACTTGGATGTAGTGAAACCCTAAACCCTACCATGTAGTTTACTTGTGTGTGGTTTGAATGATTGATATTGGGCATTGTTCAATTTAATGTCTGATGTATTTTTCACCATGATTTTGCATTCTTGTGCTTAGCAACTTAGGAGTTGTGCATATTTTGTGCTTAGCATCCTAGGGTTTGTGCATAATTAAGCTTAGCACCCCTACGTTTGTGCATTTAGGTGCTAGAAATCTAATTTGCTAACTTAGCCTAGTTTAGAGAGGAAAATCCCCCTTTTTACGGGAGACTCAATCGAGTTGGTTTTCCTTCCGCTTTCCAAGCCACCTAAACTAGGTTGAGTTAGGGCAATCCTCAATATTCAATTTAACAAGTCGATTAATCGTGGTTAAACCGTCCGACAGAGTTGAGTGAGGAAGTAAGCCGATTACCGATTGTCTAAACCGAGAGGGTCGAGTGACACAACCTTTCATCCTCACCTCGGTTTAGCAATCGAGACTGTGGTCCCGACCACATATGCTTTCCTCTGCGGTTCACGATTAGCGTGCCCAAGGCAATCGTTCCAACCCACGTAGCATGGTAGCGGTTTAGGGGGAAGCGAAACCCAAGTGACTTTCCCACAAAAGAGTTTTCAAACCATATTACTTTTGCTTTCTTTCATTTCAATTGGCAAACCTTTAAACCAAAGTTTTATCGCTAGATAATGATTTCAACAACCGAAGTAGGGGTAGACGGACCGGCCCGTGTCGATATATAGATACTTGCCCTATACTACACCCGATTAGAGTTTAACAACTTGGGCTCTAATTGGGGTTTAATTAAAGTGTAGTTTCGAGCAAGTCAAGTTTTTGGCGCCGTTGTGGGGGACAATGGTCTGTTATTTTGAAAAAGTTGTTGGTTTTTAATCTAGCTTATAATTTCAAGATTTGCAAGTGTGTGTGTTCTTTGCTTGTGCTAGACTTGGTGTTTTCCGATTGTGTGTAGGAGGTGCGTGACCTGGAGCAATCCGGCTCCACAACTCCTCAGAAGCCCCGACTCTAATGGGGAGCTGTATGACCCCGATCGAAGCAAAGTTAGATCAATTGATCACAGTGATGCTTGAGGATAAAGGGCATGTAAGCGGGGTAGCAACACCTAGGGAGTGGTGTGAAAGTTGGAACCATGAGGATGTGAAGTACCACCGGATGACCCGCCTTGAGGAGGAGGTGATGAACTTTGTCGCCTCCAGCTCCAAAAAGTTTGAAAGAATCGACAGATTCATTGGAGAGGCAACAGAGAAGTTCTCGGCCATAGAGGCGGGGTTGGAGAGTCAGGAAACACACTTGATCAACCTGGCCACAAGCATAAGGGGTATCTCGCAGGAGGCTCAGTCTTGGAAATTAGTCGACGAAGTCGATGTGTTGACCGTGACTCTTCGAAGTGGAAGAGAGGCCAAAGAGCTACCCCCAAAGAAGAAACAGCTCGCTACAGAAGAGCAACAAGGGGGTGGCAACTTCCCCTCGCAGCCGGAAGCCACGAGTGACAGGGACCTTGACTCTACAACCCCTAAACCGACCTCTCAAGAAGAGGATGTCACTCCGAGCCCTCAGCTGAAGCAAGAAAAGCAACCCCAACTCTCCCTTATCCTTCACGACTTCGCAACGACTGCATGGCGGCAGAGTTCACCCACTTCATGGAATTGATGAACTAGTTGCATTTGAAAATCCCCTTCCTGGAGGCCGTCACCCAAATGCCTAAGTATGGCAAATACCTGAAAGACCTCCTCACCAACAAGAAGAAGCTTGAGGGAGTGGCTACTGTGAGCTTGAATGAGGAATGCTTCGCCCTCGTGCAGAACCACTTGCCCCCGAAACACAAAGATCCAAGGAGTTTCACTATCCCTTACTTTATTGGTGACGTATGCATAGGAAAGTCCTTGGAGGACCTAGGAGCTAGCATTAATGTGATGCACTAAAGTTATTTCAAAAGTTAGAACTAGGAGAACTCAGAGCCACTAGGATGCACATTCAGTTGGCGGATAGGTATGTAGTACAACCTAAAGGTGTTGTAGAGGCCTTGCTCATTAAAGTAGGACCTCTCGTGTTTCCTGTGGACTTTGTTATCTTAGACATTGATGAGAAAGTTGAGGTCCCCCTTATTTTGGGAAGGCCTTTCTTAGCCACCGCCAAGACCTTGATTGATGTGCATGGAGGTATGTTGGTGCTTAGGGCAGGAGAGGAGGAGGTCACATTCTCCATTGATGATAGCATGAAGTTGTCTCGTTGCCATGATGATTTTGATAACCGCGAAGAGATTTTTGACTTCATGGAGGCACTCGCATCTGCGGGTGCCCTTGCTACTAACCCTTTTGAGCACGCCCCGAACTCCCCGGAGGATGATAGCCAACTGATGCAAGACCAAGAAGTGGAGGCATTGCCCTCCATGCCGAAAATCCCTACCTCTTTGGAGGAACCCCCCCCCCCCCCCGAGTTGGAATTAAAACCGTTACCTACCCACCTCGAGTACGCCTTTTTGAGGGATGATGGGAAGCTTCCAGTCATCATCAACGCCAATCTCACGCCCGATCAAAAGTTGGAATTGATTGAGGTCTTAAGGTATCAAGAGAGGGCAATAGCATGGAAGATCACAGATATCCGGGGATTTGGGCCAAACTTTTGTTCTCATAAGATCCACCTGGAGGATGGGGCCAAACCGGTTTGGCAACTGCATAGGCGAGTGAATCCTAATCTGGAAGAAGTAGTGAAGGCAGAAGTGATCAAGCTGTTGGATGCCGGGATTATATACCCTATCTCGGATAGCCAGTGGGTGAGCCCAACCCAGTTGTTCCCTAAGAAGGGAGGAATTACGGTGGTAGCCAATGAAAAGGAAGAGCTTATACAGACAAGAACGGTGACGGGGTGGAGGGTGTGCAATGAGCCATTCACTATCAAAGATTGAACGAAGCCACGCGAAAGGACCACTTCCCTTTTCCTTTCATTGATCAAATCCTTGAGAGACTCGTTGGGCATGGTTACTACTGCTTCTTGGATGGGATGTCCAGATACTTCCAGATTCCAATTGCCCCAGAAGATCAAGCCAAGACGACCTTCACATGCCCCTTCGGGACCTTTGCTTACTGACGAATCCCGTTTGGATTGTGCAATGCCCCAACAACATTCCAGAGGTGCATTGTGGCCATCTTTGATAAGCTAGTTGGGGAGATAATGGAAGTATTCATGGATGACTTCTCAGTGTTCGGAGATTCATTCTCTCATTGTCTGGAACACTTGGAGAAGGTCCTCGAGCGATGTGAAGAAACCAATCTAGCCTTGAGTTGGGAGAAGTCCCATTTTATGGTCCGGGAGGGCATTGTGTTGGGCCACAAAATCTCCAAGTAGGGGATTGAGGTGGATCGCTCCAAAGTTGAGACAATAAGCAAACTACCTCCCCCTACCACAGTTAAGGGCATAAGGAGTTTCCTTGGGCATGCGGGGTTTTACCGCCGTTTCATCGAAAACTTCTCGAAGATCGCATTGCCATTGACCAAGATTTTGGAGAAGGACATCTCATTCCTTTTCACAAAGGAATTCTTTGATGCTTTCAACATCCTTAAAGAGAGTCTCACCAATGCACCCATAATGGTCTCACCAGATTGGAACCTCCCCTTCAAGCTCATGTGCGATGCTACTGATTATGCAGTGGGAGCAGTTTTGGGTCAAAGGAGGGGTAGACACTTTCAACTAATTTGCTACGCCTCAAAGACACTAAATGATGCTCAGGGGAACTACACAACCACGGAGAAAGAGCTGTTAGCAGTAATCTT